GCCCAAAAATCCTAAAAATAAGTTTTTCTTTGATCGAAATTTCAGTGTCAGCGATCGAAACGAATATTAGATGAAGAAGAAAAAAAAGCGATTTTCGAATTTTCTAAATCGTTTTTCGACTTGTAGAATCGATGCGTCGAAACATTTCTAGAGCACAATATGGTAAACCTGACAATTGAACTAACTATTTATTCATTGATTTAAAAATAGAAAAATCTATACTAACCGCGATCAGGTGCCTGCTCAAAGTTCTGACGCGAGCGTCGAACATTTCTCCATAAAGCAACAAGACGTGAGACAAATGTTTGTGTTTTTGAATGTTGTTTGACATGAAGTTTAAGCTAGACAAAAAAACAAAAAGAATTTTATTTTACTTTGTTTTGTTTTGTTTTCTATAACATACATCTTTTTCATTCAATTCATAGTCGGGAGAGAATGGTTCCAGTGAGAACAATGCTCGAAAACTGAACGGACTGGCAAATGGAATGACAAGCTACAATAGAAAAAACAATGTAACGATTGTATGGCAGATGTTACTCTTCGTACACAAAATGCATAGATGGCATTTGAAAGCCAACAGAATACTCGAACAGCACATAGTTTCCATCGCCAAAATGGATATTGAGTTGTTATTGAATATGTTGTTGTACGTCGAAGATTGTAACGTGCATCGCTCTAAAAAGAGAGAGAGAGAGAGTAGTTACGCGAAGAATCAATCTTTGAAAAAACTTACATCAGCATTAATCAGTGTTGTTCGTTGTTGTTCTTCAACAGCCGTATAATTAAATTTGGCAAACATAGTTGGAATTTTTTCGACAGGCAACGGATTTGTACGTTCGATAATCCAATTTTCTACGCAAAAAGAAAGAAATTTGTTTGAGAAACGAGCAAAATCGCAAAAGATTTACTCGGAAACCAAATCGATCGACTACATTTAATTGTTCTAATGGGTTCAGTTGTTGATTTGAGATTAAGACGAAGAGTCGATTCATGCTAAATTTATATATAAGATATATCATATTAGAAAAGACAAACAAAACAATATACATATATATATTTGACATACATCTGTTCGAAATGTCCAATCACGTTGAATAAAATATGCTGCTTGTTCATTACTCAATGTACGACATTCATCAATTGATAATCGATGTGCATCCCATTCATGTTGTCGAATAAAATTAACACGTTCTTCAAAAATTTTTGCTTCAATCCATCGAGAAATTTTTGATTTAATCGGATGTTCACGCATAAGTTTTTCTCTTGTCTAAAGAGAAAAAAAGAGAGTATAACAAAATAGAAATAAAAAAGAGGAGTGTATTTTTTAGATACCCTTTGAAGGTGTGTATCGAGTTGCTCATTAAGTTTGTCGACAACTGATTGCATGGCAAGTACGGCACTGGCTTGTGCAATAAGTAGATGTCCTAAACCTGGTGCCAATTTTTCAATAGCACTCGAATTTTCAATTGTTTTAAATGCTCGTTCGATATATTCTCGATTCAATTCTGTTTGTACCCGTTTGGCAACTTCTTCTTTAGATAAACCTAATTCGGTTTGTTTATCTATAAAAATTTATCGATCATATATAAGTATTGTAAATACAAGAGATAAATCTTACTTTTGTATTCATTGATTAATCGTCGTTTGGTTGTATTAAACCATGTTTTAGGTGTACTATTTGAAACAAGTTCAGCCACCGTTTGTTGTATTTTTATTTGTAGATCACGATTATGTAATCGAAGATCAATATCAATATTATTTGGTGTAGTAAAACAATGAGGAAATGGAAGCATTTCAGGTGGTATAGGCTAATTGAAAAACAAAAAGAAGATAAAGATAAGTAAAACAAAAAAAAAACATTGAATACTCGTTTTTGACGATATGTATATTTTTCTTTTTCAAGCATCATTTCTAATAAACGTGGAATTTGTGCACAAAATTGTTTATGCATGATTTTTTCATTCTCCTATATACATATACAAAATTTTAAATTTTTATAATAGAATTTTTTTAAGAAAAATTTTTACATGTGGTGAAAGTTCAATAACAAGAAATTTTTGTCGTTCATTTTCGACTTGTTTATCAATACTTTCTGAATAGGTTGCAGGTAATCCGATGAGAGCATCTATATTCAAGAAAATTGATACACACAATTTACATGAAAGAAAAAAAAAGATGATTTACCAAATAGAGTAACAAAGCCACGTTTCCATGAACGTATACTCGCTTTTATACTAAAACAATTTGAAATAATACGATCATGAGCAAATATAATTAACATATAGAGAGCCCATGATAATTCCTGAAATAAATCGAATATGAAACAAATTCTTAATTATTATTTTTTAGAATAAATACAAACCTTGAAAAATGTTTGATTGGCTGTTTGTATGCCCGATTGAAGCAATTTGCTTAATCGCCATCGATGACGTTGACCAGGAAAATAGATACTATTCACTTCAAACTCTCTATGCAGAAAGAAAGAGAGAGCAAGAGATATAGATAAGATCAAATATATTTTACCCTGTTTGTTTGACAGCTTTGAGTTGTTCATCATTTAAACTTTTTGATGAACCATTAGGATTTGTTGATAAAGTTTCAAGTTCATTTAATGTTGGCGTTTGAAATAATGATGTAAATTTAATCTAAATAATTGGTTTATTGAAAATGTTTAATCAATAGATTTTGAATAAATTTAATCTTTTAATTTACTTCATTCGAATCACTCGTAATGCCTGTTATCGATGATGGTAATGAAACTTCAAAAACTTTACATTGTTCCAAGTTTCGTTCGGCTTTCTATGAACACAAAAATAAGAGAAGAAAAAGAGGTAATCTCTCTCATACCTCTCGGACGAAATCTTGAATTTGAGCAATGTCGGCTGAGACATCGGGTGTCGGTGTATTAAATCGTATTGGTTCAGTCTATTAATGATGATGATGATGATGATGACGATAGAGATGAAAAATCAAATATTTCAGTCCCACCTTATATTCGGGCAAATGAATGGATGCATGCTCCTGTTGATCTGCCATTTATTTTGCTTTATCGCCTGTGTTCAATGTTTTCAACTACTTGAAGTATGCGTCGTTCTTCTGTAACCATGAAAAAAGAAAACTGAATGCATTCTGTTTTTAAACGATATATTCTGTTCTTATTATTCACGAAAAAAATGAGTCAACAAGACACATCGTAAAATAAAAAAAGAAAGCAACAACGTGTCAACACCGTTTAGAAAGGTGTACATTCTATGATTACATCGTGGTTGAGTAATGACATTAGGAAAGAGAACGATGTGTCTTTAGAAAAATGTATGACGAACAAGAAGCCATGAGACAAATGTCTCAATTATCATTTGAGCGCACATTATTCACACACACATTCATCGTAACGTTCCAAAGAATGAATCCGTCTAAGAAAAGGATTTGGCCCATTTTTATCTGCATACTTTTTGTACTCAGAATCGATTAATTCTAGTATTTTACGATGCACTGGTTAATTTGGTGAAGTCAGAACGGTTCCGGACATCATAGAAAATGTTTTAGATCCGTTAGGTATATACAGTATATCTCCAGAGACCCTGATTTCAAGAGCTTCGACAGAACCTTTTTATATAGCACAGCAGCAGGCATGGACTAGTCGGAGTCCTTAAAAGTTCAAGCCGAGTTCGAGTCCATTTCGAGTCCGGTAATCTTTTAGATTCTTCTTTGATGAGGGTGGTTTATATTTTAATTTGCTGAGCCCTGGATAGATATTTGATTTTTCGAAAATAAGGTTACGTTCCATGTCCGTCTCCCGAACAAAATTTCAATTTCATGTGAAACAGTAGGTGTTGTTATTTCACTTTTCATTTTTCTCTGCTCATTTGTGTTAAAAGTTGAACAGATCGGGCTCGAAATACAAAAACTCAAGTCCACGTACTTCAAAAAATTTCCAGTCCGAGTCCGAGTCCGCCAAAAAATCTTTCAGTCCGGACTCGGACTCGTCCGTGCCTGCACAGCAGATCGAAAATTGTTTCAATTGTTTAAATCGTTTTTGAAATTTGTTTTAGCTGTTATGGTCGACGAGAAAAATGAAAAATAAAGGTGGTGAATAATTTTTGCATCCACTGTAGGTTTAAGCGGCACAAAAATGCGTACTCTTTATTTTATAGACGAAGAAGCCAGCTTTCAGAATCTGTATTATTATCGATTTCACTCTTCTTCCGTAGCTCAGCAGATCTTGTTCTTTGCTCATGATACATGTCCGTATATACCTAAAAAGTACTACTGGTCTAAAACATTTTCTATGAGGTCTAGAATCATTCTGACTTCATCAAATTATTCCGCGCATCGTGAAATACTAGAATCAATCGATTCTTAGTACAAAAAGAATGCAAATAAAAATGGACCAAATTCTTATCATACGCGGATTTATCCTTTTACTTGATTTTACTACCGTCATTATTCATATTTTCTTTTTTATACTTTCATTAGAGCGTTTTATATTATATTCCGTCGAAGCTTCGAATGTACTAAGCGCTTTTCAAAGACTTAATACACAAATAGAACCATATATAATGTCGATCAATTTCGAGTTCGAATTTATTTTATTCCTTTTTTAAATGATATTTTAAATGATGTAAATTCACTCTCTAATTTCAGTTTTCAATGGGATTTTTGATAATATTCTATAGTATTTGTAAATCGAATATAGAACTGCTATGAATTCATAGCAGTTCTATAGTCGATTTACAAATACTTATTTCCAACTGCTCTACCAACAAATTTCATAATATTCTATAGATTTTCAGAGGGTATCTGCCCGCCGGAACTAAAGATGTAAGTGTATTATTACTGCCTCATATACCAATATCCAGTTGTATTCTACTATCTTTCGCTGGATGCTTCAACAGATTTGAATATAACATAATAATAAAATACACTTGACTTAACAATTTCAATTAACATAACTATAACACAAAAGTGAATAAATTTTAAATGTGACACGAAATGCCACATAAGACTTTTTAAATGGTACTGAGGAATAGTTAATTATTCTAATAGTTTCTAAAATGACTCTCATTCATTTTTCTCAGTCATTTTTTTAATTCTTTTTTCAAGTTATATTTCATTATAGGCACAGGAATTATTTCAGTTGGTTTAAGCTTTAATCCTGAGCCCGAACAAAATCGAGCCTACGGATTCCCACTATATCAATCTGAAAGTCTAACTTTATTCAGCAAAATCAGGTTCTGCGAGGAAAAAGAGGGAAATTGTTAAAAAGATTACTTTTTCATGGATACTATTGCTATTCGAATGGACTGATGTGAGAACCGTCCCAAATGATTAATCGTTTAACTTTTAATTTTACACTTCTTATATGTAATCCACCGTACCAATTACGAATATCAACACCGTTTTGATCCAGTTACACTTTCTCAGCCTGAATCCGAAAGCGTGACTTCAACGACACGAAAATTAAAATCGCCCGAAAAACATTTCTGGATCAGCCGTTTAGTAGCTCGCATCAAACTACTTCTAATTTGTAACTTTTACGCTTCCTAATTGAATTTTAGAGAAGCTACAAATTTCTTTTCCCATATAGTAAGTGTAGGTTGAACAACTAATCACTGTCTCTAATGCCTTAAATAAATAATGGGCAACCGACCATTCTTTGGGGTTGACTTCACTGGACAGGAAGAATATTTTTGATTTATCAGTTGTGAAAATAAAGAAGAAATATTAGCAGCACTTAACATAATTAAAAATATACCAGACTATTTCGCTATGGCGATAATAACGCTATTGTTATCAAATGAGAAAAAAGAGCTGCCATCCAACTTGTCGTTTTGTCCTCGTTCTAGGACAGTAGCACATATAGTAAATAGCGGTTAGTGAGAGAAACATCAGTTTATGATCGGCAATAGCACGCAAAAATTTCATATAGACTAAACGCACAGTAGTCACATCGTGTAGTCACTATGTGTGAGAACCGTATCATGAGAAAAAAATTCATAGCTCCTCTAAAACTTAATTGAGAAGCGTAGAAATTACAGATTAGAGGTGGTTTGATACGGGCTACAAAACGGTTCATTCAGCAAGTGTTTCAAACAATTTTAATCTTCGGGTCTTTGCTCGATAGAAAATGTTTAAAGAATGCTTATTTTTGTCTTACTGTTTAATAAATATAAGTTTTTTCGTAGAAACTCATGGAACAAACATTCCCATGTTTCAACAGGCTATAAAAGACACAGAATATTAAGAGCAAAAGAACTCTCCTTTTTCTTCTTCTTAACAATGCTAGAGGACTTTTAGAATCAGGG